TCTGGATCACACACACACACACACACACACACACACACACACACACAGAGCAGCAGCAGCTCAACAATTAGTCTAGATGAAGCGCCGCTCTCCGCCCTGCCAGTGTCACCTGCACAACACGGAGGTAATTATCTCAATTAAGGTAACGAGTCGGCACCTTACGTCTCCTCGCCCAAATTCTCCACAAAAAGAAATGCTCCTCAGTATACGAGAATCACCTCAGTAAAGTGCATGTTTGTTGTGGTGTCTCTTTTAGCTTAGCTTAGCTTAGCTTGTGGTGTCTATATTAGGTTTGGTTAGCTTAGCTTAGCTTGGCTGAGCTTGTGGTGTCTATATTAGGTTAGCTTAGCTTAGCTTGTGGTGTCTCTTTTAGGTTAGGTTAGGTTAGCTTGTGCTGTCTTTGTTTGATCAGGTTAGGTTAGGTTGTGGTGTTTCTGTTGGTTAGCTTGTACCACGTTGGTTAGGTTAGGTTAGGTTGTGGTGTTTCTGTTGGTTAGCTTGCACCAGGTTGTCTGCATTGTAATATATTATGAGTTAAAGCGACACTGGGTCAGAATATATACTGTGAAAAGGGTAATAGCCTAACCTAACCTAACCTAACCCGACCTAACCTAACCTAACCCGACCTAACCTAACCTAACCCGACCTACCATAACCTACCCTAACTATTGCTGACCTACACCATCACACCACACCATACTGTTACTGACCTACACCATCACACCACACCACACCATACTGTTACTGACCTACACCACCACACCGCATCATACTGTTACTGACCTACACCACCACACCACACCACACCACACTATAGTGACGTGTTGGGTGTAGGACCCAGCCACTCAGCTGTGTGTTATAGTGACGTGTTGGGTGTAGGGACCAGCCACTCAACAGTGTGTTGTAGTGACGCGTTGGGTGTAGGGACCAGCCACTCAGCTGTGTGTTATAGTGACGTGTTGGGTGTGGGACCAGCCACTCCAACAGTGTGTTATGTAGTGACGCGTTGGGTGTAGGAACCAGCCACTCAACATTGTGTTGTAGTGACGTGTTGGGTGTAGGAACCACCAACTCAGCAGTGTGTTGTAGTGAGATGTTGGGTGTAGAGACCAGCCACTCAACAGTGTGTTGTAGTGACGTGTTGGGTGTAGGGACCAGCCACTCAGCAGTGTGTTGTAGTGACGTGTTGGGTGTAGGGACCAGCCACTCAACAGTGTGTTGTAGTGACGTGTTGGCTGTAGGGACCAGCCACTCAACAGTGTGTTATTGTTACGTGTTGGGTGTAGGGACCAGCTACTCTGCAGTGTGTTGTAGTGAGATGTTGCGTGTAGGGACCAGCAACTCAACAGTGTGTTGTAGTGATGTGTTGGGTGTAGGGACCAGCCACTCAACAGTGAGTTATCGCGACTTGTTGGGTGTAGGGACCAGCCACTCAGCAGTGTGTTGTAGTGACGTGTTGGGTGTAGGGACCAGCCACTCAACAGTGTGTTGTAGTTACGTGTTGGGTGTAGGGACTAGCCACTCTGCAGTGTGTTGTAGTGACGTGTTGGGTGTAGGGACCAGCCACTCAACAGGCAACAGCACTTACCAATCCAGTAATCTGTGTCTGGGTCACCGAAGCCTTCACGGTAGTCTCTCCAGCCTCGGTTGAAGTTGACCTGTTGGTCCAGTGGGCGGCGGGCCAGTACCACGGTCCACCCTCCTTCCTCACCTTCCAGCTCACACCACACCTGCACGCCCTCCTCCTGCACCTGGGAGACAAGAACCAACTGTGGCAATGTTCAACTGTTATAAAGCTCTCAAGCAACTCCTGCATATAGTGCCAAAGTTCCCTCGTACTGAGGTGAATTGCAGATATAGTAAGGTAGTGAACACAACGTAGACACAGGGGGTTACTGTATTATACAGTAAGTAGCTAGACTCATATACGTTTATTAGTATTTTGCACTGATAGAAAAATAAATTAAGAAGTCGTAATGCCAGCCCAAAACAAATAGAGAAATAGTTCATATTTATAGAATAAAGACAATTTGATTATTTGGCCATAATCTAAGCGTTCATAATGGTAGAGACTGGGATAGATTAATAAATATCGAAGGTTTGATCACCAGAAAGATACAACACCTGGGAGAAAACTGTTGGAGTAGAGGTCCAAGGTCACCAACACTGATGTATGAGTACGGCACTTTGATTGATATTTACTGAGTAGAAAATACCTTATTGATTACTTAGAAGTGTGTAGAGATGAGAGGAGAGGAGCAGTGAAGAGTCTGAGGTGAGGTGAGGAGTAGGGTACAGAAGACCTTCATTTGGGGAGGTAAAGTGAGGGGTCTTACCTGTATGGAAAGATCTGATACACGCCGCTGCGGGTGTTGCCGGCCAGCAGCGGGTCGTGACAGTCGCGGGGCCTGCCAGGGACACACACATCTGTTCTGTTCACTTATGAAAATTTCTGAAGTGAGTTACACGTATCGCCTGGGACAAACTCTTACACAGACAAGGAACTCATTATTGTGGCGAGGTGTCAGGTCGCCATTAAGTAGAAGTTTTCACCCAACATAAAGAGGGATTCTTCAGCCCTAAAGCTCACCTGTTGGTGGGAGTGTTGCAGCTATTGTCCCCGGTGATTGGTAGCTGTGGCTGCAGTGGCTGTGATGGAGACTGTTGTGGCTGTGAAGCTGTGTTGTCACCTGTAGAGAAGGAGGGGTGCCGTGTCGCCAGCTGCCTCACCTCCTGCTGCAGCTGTAGTAGAGGTAACAGGACGGTGTTGATGGCGGCGCTCCACTGCTCGCCGGAGGTAGCAGTGTCTCGCCCACCCACACCCCTCATCTGTTGACTCACCTGCTCTAGTACTCTGCTGTGCCTCACCTGTTCGGTTTCTAGCAGGAGCAACAGAATTTGCATGGATATGTCACGGCGGAGAACACCCCCAGCACTCCCTGACACTTCCACGCTGGCCTGGTGCTCTTGAATCGGTGTCAACAACGACTTGACATCCTGAACATGGTGGAGAGTATTATTGGTGACCGCCAGGAGCTGCTGCACCACCTCAGGACTAAGATGATGTGCCACACTCTCGTTCTCCTCCATGAGGGGCGTCCCGTATGAAGGACCGAGTCTCAGCACCAGCAGTACCACCACCAACACGCCTCTTAGGACCATCTTGCTCAATAATGTGACGATTCCCAGCCTCTGCCTTCACTTATATCCTCCACACCTCACAGTCGCCACAAACCGCACTACAGGAACATGTCTGCTCTGCAAGGTTATTCAATTCGTTCGTTCATTGTGGGATTTCTCTCAAATGTTGAAATGTAAAGATGTAAAATATGCTTTATAGTCACTCACTGTCTATGGGTAAACAAATGAACAGTGAGAGGGAGAGAGAGAGAGAGAGAGAGAGAGAGAGAGAGAGAGAGAGAGAGAGACACACTATTGGACACGTTGTCTGCCACGAACAAATTAGAACCAATAGACGAAAAATAAAACAAGTTATTTTTGGTTTGTTTTCGTAATCGGGAAGTTATGAGCTGAGTTGACGTGTGTTTGTGCACGTGTGTAGTTCAAGAGGCATGGAGAGAGAGAGAGGTCAAGTGTGTAGGTCAAGAGACTTGGAGAGAGAAGTTAAGACCACGGCGTAGTTTTAGGCTGAGAGAGAGAGAAGAGCTTCTAAAAGTTAGTTAATGATACACATGACATTAATAACAGAGGAGATAACAGGTACATTCATACAAATGATCGTACAAGTATGAAATTTGGTATGAACATTCAATATGAGTTACTTATCACATCTTTGCGATTGGACATTCAAACTTCGCAGATGCCAGCCATTTTCCAAGATGGCCACCAAATTTGCTTAATCGAAAACATTTATACTGCCACATGTCGGCCGACACTGCTGTCTATGATTGGCTAATTAGGTGATGCTCGAGAACGACTAATGTCAATGAGGGTGGTTCACGGCCTCTATGCTGATATAAATTTTCAAGTGTTTTCATTAACGATGGTTCCTTAAACCAAAAACATCTGTAATAACTTCTGCACTGCCTCTTTTCCTCCTTTCTTTCGACCTGATAACTCTATAGCCAACTTCCCCCCTGACAAAGCCAACCTCTTTGGTACTTTATTCTCCTCTAACTCCACCTTAGACTATTCCCACTCTATCCCTCCTACCCCTGCTCCTCCTACTGAACCTATGCACTTTACTATAATCTCCACTCTTAGGGTTGCTGGTGTGTTATCCAGGTTGGCTGTGAGTAAGGGGCATGGACCGGACAGAATACCCCGTCGTGTTCTGAGGGAGTGAGCTGAAGTTCCGGCCCCTGTGCTTGCTCGCCTCCGCCTTTGCATCAAAACCCAAACTTTTCCTTCTTCTTGGAAGCATGCCTCGGTTCAGCCTATCCCGAACAATGGTGACCATTCTAATTCCTCTAACTATCGCCCGTTTGCCCTAAATTCATCCCTCTCTAAGATTTTCGAAACTATCTTGAACTCCCATTTTTCCCGTCACCTAGATTCCATTCTCTTTTGTCGGATCACCAGCATCGCTTTCGCCAGGCGAGTTCAATTGGTGATCTGCTCTCTTACTGCACCTATCATTGGTCATCCTCTCTTAGGGGTTATGGGGAAACTTCCGTCGTGGCCCTCGACATCTCCAAAGCATTTGATAGGGTATGGCACAAGTCTTTGCTTTTTAAACTTCCCTCTGTTCTCAAATCTCTAGTTTCCTTAAGAACCGAACCATGGCAGTTGTTGTCGAGGGATCGGCCTCTCACTCTTTCTCTACCAATAGTGGTGTCCCACAGGGTTCTGTTCTTTCACCTACTCTCTTCCTTCTTTTTATCAATGATTTACTTCACATTACAACTAATTCTATCCATTCTTACGCTGATGATTCTACTCATCACTCTTCTTCACATTTTCCTCTTTCCCTAATTCTCAAAATCTGTTTCTAGAGCTGATATCATTACATCTATCAATGCGGATGCGTACAGCATCTCCGAATGGGGATGTAGAAACTTGGTTAAATTCAATAGATGATCTCCCACCAATCACATTTCAGGACGATATCATTCTGCCAAATTCTGAAATAGATATGCTAGGCCTCACCATTTCCTCTAATATGTCATGGAAGCCACACATCCTTAACATTGCTAAAGCTGCTTTTCGAAAGATGGGAATGCTGTGCAGATGCCATAGCTACTTCACTCCTTAGCAGTTGCTTCAAGTATATAAGGGCTTCGTTCGTCCTAACTTGGAGTACTGCTTGTAGACAGTATGCAGTAGGCAGCCACCAAACAGAGAGGTGCTTCCGCCTGGGAATATATTGGAAGCATAATGTGTTGTCTAATGGTAGACCCTGCTGCTATAAGGCACCACGAAAATTGTGACCAAGTCCCAGGTTGCTGATCTATCTTTCTGCCTCATTTACACACAATTGCAGGGTCTCAACTGTCTCTCTTACTATTGACAACACCACAAATAAAACCGTACTCATTCTTGATCCGTTTTATTCATTCTATTTTATTCTCCTATGTCAGTTGAAATTAACACTGCAGCGGGGCTTTCTCGGATGGGTCCCACATGTCGGGAAGGTTGTGGACCCCAGAGCCGACCTGATCATCATCAAGCTACTGGGGCCTCAACTAATTTGGGAATGAAATTGACGCTGATTGCGTCTTCCAGAGGGTGGAGGAGGGGTCCGATATCAGGGATAGTGCGCATCAGGTAGTTCCAGCGATGCTTGACTCCATGGGTGAATGCCGCAAAAGCCGCATGTGGCTCTGTGTTAGAAATGTCAGACAGAGCTTGGATTTCCCTAACCCACTCATTCATCTTTCCCATTACGTACTCGGTCTTGAAGTCCGTCGTGCCAATTACTGCGCCTAGGTGTCTTTGGCCATCCTTTGTTATTTTGACCTCACTTCCACCGAACACTTCCGTTGCCCGTTCATAATATTCTGGCTTCACAATGAGTAAAGACTTGCTGGCGTTTGGGTGGTACCCTCTTTGTGGCCTCGTGATGTTACCAAGTCCCAACACTTTTTAATGTCCTCCACTTTTCCTGCTCCTGTAAGGTCATCGGCGTACGCCACTTGCTTGACCTCAGTTGTTTCAAATTTTATTGTGTGTTGGAGCACGGATAGGCCTATTGCGTACATTGCCATTGCAACAGGGTCCCCCTGCGTTGTTCCCTCTTTTGACTGTATGATGGTATCCTCTCTTAGAGCCTTGTTGCTTACTATATAAAGGTCTGATTCCTATACGAGTTTTCAACATACATTGCAAAGCTTGGACACTTGATGATGATGTTGTGCAGTGCGGCCATGCGGTTAAGTATGTTGAATGCATTTGAAGCGTCGACCAGGAGAACGGCCTCACAATCGTGCTGCTCAAATATCGTTCTCATGGTGGAAATGGCAGCTTCCCCTCTAGCTTGTTGGCCAGCACAAACTTGCAGGTTCCCTGCTGCTACCCTGACATCATCCTTTAACACCTCCATTATGCATTTTCCGATGATTCGCCTCAGCACTTCCCCCACTCCTATTGGCCTACATGCTGGCTACTTATCCAGGGGAATGAGGCGGCAGGCCATCAGAGCATGGAGGTGATGGCAGCATGAGGATGCCAGCTTTCTTGCAAGGACGGCATTGGCCGTGCAGAGATCGCTCGCTTTGGGGCCAAACTTGCTAGTGCTGAGGATGACTCTCCAACCGTTTGCATCCAGACCTGAACGGCCGGCACCTCCCTTAGTCTTCAGTGCCTATTTCCACACCATCCCTCTTGTTATTTTCTCGAACCGGACACCATTTGGTGGGATATAGGCACCCTGAAACCTGATGCCTTCATCATCACTTGCAGAGGGATGTTTTTCTTTCAGTTGTTTTAATGTCTCTCTGTTTATTGGCAGGACCCCACCGGCGGATTCCACTGTGAGAGATCTTACTGCCAAAGACACTTTTCCCACACGCATTTTGTTTCCAAACTTTCTTGCAGCATCATCGGTGTTTTGCTTTCCGTTTCCTGCAGATTTTAGTCTCTCCTGCAGTGTTCTTGCTTCACATGGAGATCATCAAGGGCCCCATTCTGCCACATTGTCAATCTTCTTTTCATTGCTGCCACATTTTCTTTACGCTTAGTCTTTGTGTGTGTCCTCTGACAGAATAGATGTGGTATTATCGCCAGTATTTGAAGCGCTAAAGGGGCAAGGAAATAGTCCTGAGTGTACTCAGTTATGAGGCGAATCATCTCCCGAATCATTTCTTTGGTGGCCGCACACTTGGGTGGTTCAAACAGGTTAGCTGGCGACCACCTGACAATTTCTGAGTAAGTTTCTTTAACCCATATGTCCGCCTTTTACATCGACATGCCATTCCACTGTTGTGGCTTTCTCTCGTTCACCTCGTGGACATCTGCTACTACTGGAGCAGCGTTTATTAGTACTACATTTTCAGGTTGAGTAGACTCACTGCTATCATTTAGGATATCATCGGGCGGTTGGGTCTCTGAGGTATCCACTGTGGCCTCCTGTGTCGGCTCCCTGCCTTGTGGGTTTCGACAATTGTTTCCCTTTCTGCAAACCATACATGGTCGGTTGTTTCTCGCACACTCACAGCTAGTGGAATTTTTGTACTAGCTAGCACAGACGCAGCAATGTCTGTTACCCGGCATAGTGTTCTGCACCTTGGGCGACAGTTATATCCGCCTCCGACATCTGCTTTGGTCCCATACATAAGAGGAATCTAGTTCTTATGAGTAAAGGGCAGAAAGGTGACAGGCTGGACTGCTGTGTCCGGATAGTAGGGGCATACGTGCGCGCGCGCGCGCGCGCGTGTGTGTGTGTGTGTGTGTGTGTGTGTGTGTGTGTGTGTGTGTGTGTGTAGACCACCCCCCTGTGGACGACAATCCACACATCAAAATAATACACTGGGAGCTAGAATTGTCACACCTAACACTTGTTTATATATCCTTGGCAGAAATAACCACTATTTCTATGGTCGCACTGATGTAATATTAGTTATATATACTCCCTACAGGCAGTGACCGTTACTTGGGGGTGGGGCGACCGCAAGCTTAGGGCACTTGGTCCCAAAAGGGCGAGAGTCTCCATGCCACCCCTGCCAAAGTAGGCCTATCGACACTGGTACTGGCACCTGCAGTAGCCGACCATCCAAACACTCACAAAA